TAAGAGGGAAAGGCAAAGATCAAAATAGAATTTACCGTGGTGCGAGCTGGTGACTGCAGATAAAAAAGAATGAAGAATTGAAATCAGAGTAATCAGAATTTAGCTACAGAAAACAGGTGGGGATATGGTGTGGGTAAAAAAAAACACAAAAAAACAAACAAAAAAACCCCCCCAAAACCAAAAAGAAAAACCAACACAGGAAAAGAGTTAAGAAGTCAGTTTATGGCAGTGCATTAAAACAGAGAATGTCTTATCAAGAGATGAGACCTTAGTGGGGCATTTTAAATGCTTTCCAGGGAGAACAGTCAGTGGGTGAGACGCCAGTGATGGACATCTGGGCCATGTGTAACGGGCAATATTGCACTGAAAAACCCAAGGCCCAATACATTGACACTAGCAATATTTTTATGATTCAACCTTGTTACATTTCTAAAGATGCTAATTATATTTAGCCAAGTATTCCTTATCTATACTGCAAAAGGTCAGAAAAAAGCAGTGCTAAATGATATTGATGTTGGCGTAATTCCTAGTTTTTAACAACGAACTTTAATCCTCTCTTTATTTTATTAAAATATCAAATCACTATGTTGTACACCTGAAACTAATATAATATTTTAAGGCAACTATACGTCAGTAAATAAACCAACAGCCCAACCAGCTGAGGGAAAGATGAGGAGATTCTTTTATAGGGCCCGCACGCCGTCTGGTGGAGGAATAAGTAGCCAACATCTTGCACACGGATGTCCTAATGTTACCTTCTCAAAGGCAACTAAAAGGTTTTGTTTTACTATCAGCAACACCTTGATCTTTGTAAAGGTTAACAGGGCCTGTGGCCTTAGACATTTATTGCCAGATGATGACATAATGAAAAATTTTTTTTCTTCACTCGACCCCATGTGGGTCCTCTCCATACATATGTATTGGTGGGAAGAAATGCAGTTCTTTCTCCTCTGACATCCTGGGCTGTTAATTTTAAGATTGGAGTCACCTCGTGAAAGGAGTTAAATTGTAATCAACAACAGCATTTTTGGTATCGTTAAATGCTGCCAGGCAATGATACCTGCTGTAGCAAACGTTGTCTCTCTGCTCCCGCTCCCCCATGTTTTAATACATTAAATTTTTGAAGGGCTGCATTAAGAACTTTTCAGAGTTCTAAGTTTATTAATCTTTTTGGCTTTCTTTCAAGATATTCTGGCTTATAGTTGTATAAGAATACTAGATTCTTGTACTAGATCAATGCAAAAAAGAATTTGATATTTATATCTCCACTTTAAAATAAAGACATAATATTCTTTTAGAAAGTGTCAGACCCTTTCAAATAGTTTGCTTTTTCTGTTACATCAGTCTTGATGTAATAAAATTGCTAGGAAGACGGCAAACACTGAGGAAAAATATAACAAAACATTGAAGTGCATTAGAGTACTCCACACAAGAGTTAAATGGAACCAAAATTACCAAATCATCATAAATTAACATCTCACCTGAGGATGTTTCTGGTGGTGAAACTAAGAGCTACCATATTAGCTGAATCTCCTCTAGAATATTACTTCATATGCTGAAGATTATTTAAAGTGCTGAATACTTACACTTTTGCATACACTTAAATGCAATTATTTAGGTAAAATCTTAGCCTCGATTGGACAACCATCCATTTCAAAGTGGAGTTAGGGGACGTATTTGTAGGTATAAAACAAAAGCTTGTCATAAAATATAAAAACCTCTAGAAATGCAAACATCTCTTACAATTTTATTTTCATTAATAGATTAAGGGAGATACTCTTATCTTAAAAAATAATTTAGAGGAAGAAAAAATACAGTTTGTGAATCGCCCTGTGGTCCTTTGCACCTGGGGAGATGAGATCAGATGAATTGTGTGCCACACACTCACTGAGGCACGGGTGTGACTTGGAATCAAATCTAGCCTTTTTGTTCTTTTCATTACATCTAAAACCAAAGGTTTAAGATGCCTATGGATACCATTCCTTGTTAAAAGTCATTTCTTATTTCCAGGACTGCACGTAGAGAACCTACTTCACTTACCATTATAAGCTTTAGTGCCGTTTCTCATGTCAAATATAAATACTTAAGATTTTGTACTTATGTTAAAAAAGAGAAACATGCAAATTAAATAAGTACTGGTTGAGTATTTTAACCTACATAAAAGTGTGCTATTCAGGAATATCAAAATTAAGAGAATTTTGTAACATCATTCTTCCTGAGAAATAATTTCAAGAAGAACATTGAAACTCATACATGTTTGCAGAGGTAATCCTTTTCTGTTTATAAAGGTTATTTGGAAATCTGTAACTCCAGGTCATTTCTGCCTTCTTTGCTTGCGTGGAAGATTGAGTAATGGGGTTAATTTGGAGAACAAGAACAATATATAATGACTCGTGAGTTTTCTTTATAAGTTCAGCCAAATTGAGAGCGTAGCCAAAGTCAACAGCTCTACAAACTAGTTTGATTTCAAACGCACGAGCGATGTGTGGTTACGGCCTTTAGTGTCATCTGAGTTTCTGCAGCTTTTCAGTTAACAAGAGTGTTGCCATATATTTTAGCACACTCCCAACCTACTGTGATTAAATTTCACATTTTGGGGTATCAGTATTAAAGTAACAAATGAGGATGGGGTATTACATTCAAAAATAAAATATCAAGGGCTAAACATTTTAAATAAATTATGTGATATTAATAAATTAAATAGCTATCATAAGACTAGCAATATTTTAACTCTGACATGAAGATCAAATCTATAAGAACAGCTGTATTTAGAGTAAGCAAATAGAACAGAGCCCACTGAGATTGGATTGACATATATACACAAATATATATGAAATGGATAACTAATAAGAACCTGCTGTATAAAAAAATAAATAGAATAAAATTCAAAAAAAAAAAATTGGTGATGTGGCCACAAGGCCATCTTTGTTCCTTTGACTTGCCCCGAGTAACAGCGGGCCTTCCATGGTCCCATGTTATTTTTTTCTGGGAAAAACTCACCTTCAAGAACATTTAAGAGGATTGTTTATATTTATATTCTCCTTCCTGAAAAAGTTGCAAAATGTCTTTAACCTTAGTCAATTTCATTTTAAGGGGGGTTATTTTCTCCATTCCTTTGTTAACTCGGAATGCCAAAGTGTAAGTCCTTTCATTGCTAACTATTAAAATATAAATATGAATTGATTAAAAATATAGTGGTGATAGTCAACATCTTTCTAGTATATGTCATTAAAAAATGCTGGCTTTTGGGTTGAAACACATTTTATCATATTAAAGAAGTAACCATCAAAAAAAAAAAAAAAAAAGAACTGAGCCCTCTGAGGGGTTTCTACCAGGTCTTTATAGAGCATTGTTCTTCCTTATCTCTAAACTAGAATCACAGCCCCTGCTACTGGCTTTCAGACAATCCCAGGCATCTCACCTCCAGCAGGCTTCTCAGGAGCACATTCTTCAGCCCTCTTCGCCCCAGTTCTACCTGGGGAAACGGCCGGACCACCCGCTCACAGATACAGATGCTCCCACCCTTGGGATGAGTCGAGGCCACCACTTCTAGATCACTTTTCTCCTTTTCCTTCCTTTAAACCCAAACAAAATATACAGATGTCTTCTGTCACCAGTATCGACTCTATTGGCGCTATTCGGAATCTCCTTTTCAAAACATGAATGCATATATTCTTCCAACGTTCAGAGGGTCCCAATCTTAATTCACTGATTTGTTACTTATGGACCACTTACTGAGTGACTCCTATGTCCAGGTTATTGTTTTAGGCTCTAAGGACACAGCAGTACGTTAAAAACAACCCCTGCTCTCACAGACTCACATTCTGAGAATCTGGGGTGATAAAGTTAATTCGTTTAGGGAGACCCATGTAATAATGGAGGCCGTCCTAGGGGCTTGCCCATGCCACAGATCTAAACCTCAACCAGCCTGATTTCTGGGAAACACCTGACAAGGAATCCTAACACCCACCAATCACAATCCTCCAATTCGCCTTTAGTGAGCTCAACTCACCCTAGAAAATGGGCCCTGCCAGGCTCGTAAGGAAACCCCCCGCCTCCTAGTCAGTCAGGCCCTGTTTCCAGGTTGCCTCTTCTGAGCTCTGTGAACTCACTCTTGACCCCAAACCTCCCTCACTGCTTGTGGGGCTCTGTACTCCCCAATCTGTGGATTGTTTTCTCTTGGATAAAGGACATCAAACTCATCACCAAATTGTTTTAGTTTTATAATTGTCAGGGGGAACAGGAAAGAGCGCCCGAATGTTAGGAGGTAGGGATAAAATCAAATAAACGGACAAGGAAATGTTGGTATTGCGAATGCTACAGTAAACAGGGTAGTGGGACTGAGAGTTGTGGACAAGGGAGGATTTTAGACCAAAGCATGAGTGGGGATGGGGAGTGGGGGGCTCTCCGGATAAATCACATCCAGGCTGGGGTCAGGGTGACACTGACCGCAAGTGACATGCTGCCCGCCAAATACAGGATTCTGCTCTGAGTGAGCCCTCAATAAACGCTGAACCCAAGCACCGATCTCCAACATATGTATATTTATCGCAAATGAATCACACACATGCTTCGTGTTAAAGAATGGAAAGTCAGATTAGTTTGAATAGCCGTAGAACACCTTTGTACACACTGTTTCAAACAGTAACATTTGGGACCTCCCTGGTGGCGCAGTGGTTAAGACTCCGCCTGCCAATGCAGGGGACACGGGTTCGAGCCCTGGTCCGGGAAGATCCCACATGCCGCGGAGCAACTAAGCCTGTGCGCCACAACTACTGAGCCTGCGCTCTAGAGCCCGCGAGCCACAGCTACTGAGCCCACGTGCCACAACTACTGAAGCCCGCGCGCTTAGAGCCCGTGCTTCGCAACAAGAGAAGCAACCACGATGAGAAGCCCACGCTCTGCAACAAAGAGTAGTCCCCGCTTGCTGCAACTAGAGAAAGCCCACACGTGGCAAAGACCCAACACAGCCAAAAATCAATCAATCAATCAATAAATAACCACCCCCCCCAAAAAAAACAGTAACATTTACTCCCATTACAAACATTTATAATAGGTTTTCAAGGAAAAAAAAACACCCACCTCTCAGCCTTGGTGTTATTATCATGTATTTATAACATGCATATATGAAACTTTTATTTGCATATAAGTTCACTACATTAATAAGAGTGACCTCTTCAGCTCAGGGAACATTAAATCTGACATTGATTTGTAGGAAGGATGAACATTTCTTTCTCGAAAATGTTACTTCGTCCTATGCCCTCCTGTGCTCAAAAGCCCAGACCCAGTTAAAAATCCCAGGCTGGGGGCAGGACCGCCCACTTGCATCAGCTGTGCTCGTGTTTTCACTTCCAAGCCTACTGATGTTCTGAGTATTTGTAGTATTTATTGTTGCTACTTCCTAGTCAACATAGATTCTGATAGAAAACTAAAACTTATACTTTCTACCATTCTTGATCCTACGATTAAAAATGATAAAATCTGTTGACAACAGAAGAAACAAGCCTTTCCCACAGGGACAAAAATGAAAAACAAAGCGGGAAAAATGTTAACTACAGAAACTACCATGTTGGACCTTTTATAATTAACAATGTTCTAAAAAGGACACTGAAAGGTGCCCTATGCAGACGAGGAAAATATAAACCAAAAAGCAGACACAGAGGCATAAAATCAAAGGACATGCACTCCTTTTAAGTACTCTTCTATCCCCAGGGTGAAAGCAAGGAAAGACACTGCTGTACATACGTCTGTGTTGACATCTACACGAATAAACAGCAGCGCTAAGAGAGTTTACACTCAAGAGAGTAAAGGGCAGGAGAGAATTTTCGGAGGAAAAAAGGCAGCTGCCTTTACTCTCATGGACCTCTTTTATTGGTGCCTAATTAACACACATAACTTCATTCAAGAGAAGTGCCAACTAAACTTGTCGCTCGCCACCTGGCTCTACAAGGATGAAGTCGGTAGCCAGCGCAGCCGTTGACCTTCAACGTCCCCTGAAAGGAGCTCGGGGTGGAGATCAGGAGCGGGGCATCTGTGCTCTGGGAAAAACTGGCAGAACAGGCCTTCAGATAGTTAGATATTTTCAAGAGAAGATTTTATGAGCTCCAATTCTTGCATCTCCTCGTATCTAGAAGAGCACTAAAATCACAAACGGTGGCATCTGCTCCACGTGTGTGCCTGACTGCACGTCCGCCCTTCACTAAGATCCTATATAGCACTGACCTTCCCCCATCACCTTGGAGCAGGTCCTCAGAGCTATCTGAGACGCCGTCTCCAGGACTATAGTTCTCATTTTGCCCCAAATAAAACTTAACTCATAACTCTCATGTTGTGTTTTTTTTTTTTTTTTTAGTCGACAGGAGCCAATTGAAAAACTATTGTATTGCTGATTGTATGACGTCTCTAAGTCCATGCTAATAAGTTGGTAATTATCTCCAAAGAAAGCAAGAAATGTTGTGATGTACTCAACAGAATGGACTTATTTCCACCTTTCCTACTGTAGCTTTCCTCGGAGCAGCCCAAGAAGCCATCTGAGATCACCTAGTCAGGACTCGGGAAGTTGTAAGGTTGCAGCTCCCCAGAATGATTCTGAAAGTCTCTTGCTTCATAGTGTGAAAAAAAAAAAATTCAAATGAATAAATTTTAAACATCTCGCTGAATTTATTGAACAATTCACGAATGGGCAGCAGCCAATCTAGCAAATAGAAACGAGCTCCCAGTAGCTGGTCAAGCTGAGACTTTTTTAGGCAGAAGAGGGTGGGAACAGGAAGATACACTGGCAGAAAAGCAGGGTGGTTATGGCAAAGGTCACTTTCCTTTAGGGGGTGGCAAGGGTTTATCAGACAGATGACCTAATTAGTGCTGATCAGATTGTCGATTGACTGGTTTAAGATTCCATTTCCGGGAGAGCCCACGCTGTAATTAAGTCTAAGTCAGGGTTTGGTGACGTGGGCCTTGGCATTTAGGGGCCCCGTTTTGGGCTACAGTCTTGTTTTTAACAATACAGAAACATTTATCTAAAAGAAAATAAATCATCAAGTTCAAACTTTCTAAAAAAAAGCTCCCCGCCCTCCTATTTTTTCAGAGACTTAGGTCATAGCTCCAAATTCTAAAGAGGCCAAATTGTTAAGTATTAAGCTAAGTAGGCTACAGCTAGGTGTTAGTTCTGGGCCACATGAGTGATTTATATGTGCCGTACAAACACCACGCACACTGTTATACATATGCAATGGGGCTCCTTTTACACAACATTTACTCGGAATTAAAAGATACTTTAAAATTAGATAGAGGATCACAGAAGGTGTTTCTTAGCCTTTATGACAACACTGGACACATATGTATTTATGTGCATCACTGATTAGGGACAAAAACTCTTAAGTGGAGAACAGGAGGCACTGTATCAACAACACATGTCGTGACAAGGTTTTCAAGAGATCCAGTGTGGCCAGAGTGAAGAAAAATCTGCACCTTTATTTTGGTGGAATAAAAACAGAATCAGTAATGGGAAACAGATAACATCGCTACAGCTCAGATCCTTCTGCCCATCAAAAAGACGTACCACGGGAAATGTTACCCATACAATGCTCCACTAGGCCACTCAAAAAAAGCTGCCAATCAAAGGGAATTTTGAAAAGGATTTTCAATCACTTTCAGTGAAAACATTCTTTATTGGTGAGTGAAAACGTCCTTACACACGTCATGCAAAACAATTGACGTCACACAATCTCTTCTGAGAGGATTATAAATTTTAAAAGTTACAGCGACTGCAACAGTACAAAGAATTCAGGAAAACTCTAAACGAAGCAGAACACTTTGTAGAACACACGAAAGTACTGTTCATCCCTCTGGATGTTTGATCCTCCCTCCCGATGGGAATCTATTTTGGAACCATTATGTACAGAAATGGCAGTCGTTTTTGTATGTGCGTCTACAGGCACTCCATCTAACGGACTAAAAAGGAACTACAAGAATAACGTTTCCAATAATTTTACAGGGTTTGGTTAATTGTTTTCTCCATTTTGTTAATCCCAAACAGGGCAATGCCCTTCTATTTAAGATGCTAACTTGTTTCAATAGATTATTTCTGCAGGAATACGGCTTTGCCCCTTGAAAATGCAGTTTATCCCTGGTAACCTTTCTGGACAGAGGCTGACTTTTTGAACGGTCATTTCTATATTCTCCAGGTTATTTTCAACTAGCGGAAAGGAACAGAGCTTCCCATTCGGAGAAGACTCAGGACTACGCCTCTTACTCTGGATTACGACACCGAGAACAAGTTTTCTCTGCGGCGCTGAGATCAACACTTCCGCGGTATCCGCCCCTCACACGGGTAAGTTCAGCTCCTGGAAGCGAGGGGAGCCCCGGAGAAAGGTCACGTCCAAAGCTCCTCCTGGCACATTCCAGTCAGGCGGCAGCGAGGAGGCACAGTGGGCTTTGCCAGACACCCTGCAGCGAGCGCTGCTGTAACAAAGGCCTACAAGTTCAGAGGTGGCCTTGCGCCCGGGCAGCGGGAGGAGAGAGCCGAGGCCGCCTTGAGCCCTGAGGACAGCAGCCAGCCCGGGCTCCGAGAAGGCAAGGGGTGCTCGCGGCTGCTGGGGGGACACGCCTACTAGCGACAAGGACCTGAAAGGCGCGGCCAGTGAGGGCTCAGGGGGGAATGCGGAACGTGCTGCGGGAAGCGGAAGGTAAAGAGATGCCGGCGACACAGCGGCAGGAGGCTTGGCTGCAGTGCAGCCGCGGGGACAGCCAGAGGCGTGAGGGAGACCGAGCTGAAAAGACTTCCAAGCAAGGCAGAGAAGGCGCAGCCTGCTTTCTCCCTACTGATTATGGTAAAACGTGAGAGGAAGCAGATCAATTGAGGAAAGGACTGTTAAAAAAGAAGGAAACATGACTTGATGACTTGGAAATTGTTAGTTTACTCGAACGGCAAAGACATTAAGAGATTCACTGTCAGGAAAGACGGCTCTAAGGAAAGAGATGAGATTGTGGCCTATAACTTTTTGCTAATACCTGAGAAATATAAAAAAAAAAAGTCACATCAAAGGCTCTTTAAAGAGATTAAGAGTGTGACTCACAGAGCCCCTCAGCCATCTCAGAAAAGGCCAGAAAGAGAGCTGGATTATCTAGGAAAGCTCTGGGGAGGAGCCTCCGGTCTAATGCAGCAACTTCTGTAACAGGCACAGAAGACCCACGGACACTGCCGTCTTAAACTAAAAGGGACAGAGACAGAATGAAACGAAAAAAGATGGCTGGACCTCCCACGATTCCACAGGCAAGAAACAAGCTGACAAAAGTACTCAGCTGCAGACACCTGCTACCTTTCATGTATAAGGAAGACCCTGAGGGAAAGCCACACGTCTGTGGGATGCTGCTGGGAGCCACAGAAGATATTCGCAGGCCCCGAAACCTAACGGACTGTGCCTGGCTGAACTTCTAAATCGCTTGGCACTGCTGCCTCCTTCTTCCCTTCCAGTTTCTATTTTCTTGAACAGGAAGGTTTGTAACGATTATTCTATGCCTGTCTAACCCTTATATTTGGGAGCAGATACCTGGGTCTCTAGGTTCACAGATGGAGAGAAACTGTGTCCCAGGATGCACACCAAGATGCTCACTCATACTTTAGATGAGGAGATTATCCTGGATTATCTGTGTGAACCTAATGTAAGCACTAGGGTGCTTGTAAGAAGACAGCAGGAGGATCAAAGTCGGAAGTAAATGATGTCAGGACAGAAGCGGAGACGTGGAGGGATACGGCCGCAAGGGAAGGGATGCCACCCGCCTCTACAAGTTGGATGAGGCGAAGAAGAGACCACCCCTGGTGCCTGCAGAAGGGACCTGTGACAGGTCACCTTACACGACAAAAGGGATTTCAAGGATTCGGTTAAGGTTACTGTGGACCTTGTGATGGGAGGTCATCCTGGAGTATCTGGCAGACCCATCTAATCACATGAGTCCTCAGAAGCAGAGACTCTTTCCCGACTGTCCTCAAAGAGATGTGATGACGCTGGAGCCAGATACATACAGTATTGCTGGTCGTGAAGATGGAAAAGGGCCACAGGCCCAGGAATGCAGGTGGCCTCTCCAAGTTGGAAAGGCAAGGAAACATTTCTCCCCTAGAGCCTCCCCAGAGGAATGCTGCCCTGTTGACACCCGACTTTAGCCCAGTGAGACCCACGTGAGACATCTCACCTATAGAAGAAACCTAGGCTATTTTAAGCCACTAAATTTGTAGTAATTTGTTACAGCAGCAATAAAAGACTACAAAAAAAGACTAACCAGGAGGGGTGACCAAAGATGAAATGGTGTCTGGGAAGAAGGAAAAGCTTTTCTCTCATCCTGCTGTAGCCTCCCTCACTCAGGAAATATGTGGCGTCAGCAGAAACGCAGACATTTACGCTGGTAACTCTTCAGATCCAGTCTGGCTGACAGAATTTACATTCCTGTATTTCTACACTCATTTGGTCTTGCAATAGACTACATTCTGGGTCGAACACTTAGAACAGTGTTTAGTATATGTAATGGGTCCTCTAGAACAACGTGCTGAATGAATAAGTGAATGTGGTCACGACAGGCTCTGCGAGGGACTGGAGTTACTCTAAAGTGCTGGTGGACACATCTCCTCAGGAACTGCTGACCTTTGTCTTTGTTTCTAGTTTAGGATGGTCAGAGTCCTGTAAAATACAAGGCTAAACTGTATTTTCTGACATGAGTAAACAGCTAAATCAGCAAGGAAAAAGGATGTGTAAAATCTTAATAGGAGAAATAATTATCGTATGATCAAAGTATTTCAAAATCAGATACAGATACTTTTCGGTACACATTACAGAAAATTTTTCAAAGTATTTGGTCAGAAGATTTCTTAATGGCTGTTGATCAATGCAGCATCAAGAAACTTTAGTGCAGATTTTACCAAATGCATTTATCAAAATGGGGTTTTGTTCATTTTCTCTGCAAACAAATGTTGTTGCATTAACTCTGATCATGTATCAAATTGGTTTGCCTGAATATTTAAAAGCTATCAACAGAAGCCAGCCCTTGCAGCTAAAACCTCAAACATATTTCTCAAGATCTATTCCTAGTCCAAATTTGTCTAGACTAAAGCTGGAAGACAGAATAAGAATAAAACCAAAATTTATCTGTATAAATAATAAAAGTAACTTTTTACGCTCTAAGTGTTTTCCTCACTAATATGGCACGTTACCGTTCCTACATGCTACTGCAGGGGTAGGAGCAATATCATTTTAGTTGCTGGAGTATCACAGTGTTAAGAATATCTGCTTCTTGTAGTGTCAGGCTTTCATCTGTTAGCTCTTTGTTTGGAAATGAAGTCACGAGAATAAAGTCAAGAGCTGCAAATTCAGGACGGGACCGTACAATAAAGTCCCGAACATCCAGGATCCTGAAGAAATAAGATAAAAATAATTTGTGATACAAAAGTTTTATTGTCAGTTAAGCTTTTAGCTAAAACTAGATAATAAAAAAAAAATCACACAATTCTTATCCTTACTTAAATGTGTTGTAACCTTCTTTAAGTTAATTTCAATGGATGGATTTACCTTGGCTTTACGGTAAAATGTGAGGATTAACTTTGGAGCGCACCTGACATCTACTCTCACTGTAAACAGACACAGTCTTTAGGTGAGTTATGCATCAGAGAAATGTCAACAATGTTATTACACTACAGGGCCTATTTTTTCAGAGTATAAAATATCTTAGCAGCACATGACCCAGAAAAAGTTACCTCAGATGAGCCTGTGTCAGTGTGAGTCTATAACTATGAAAAGTGTAAGTTATAAAAATAATTTTAAAAAGTACTCTCACATATATACAGTAGCTCAACTAAGATCATAAATGTATCTTAGTGGGATACAATGAACAAATGTGTTATTAGCACAACAAATGCACAATGAATGTTAAAACGGCATTTAAAACTGTTTATTTGAAGTACTTGGCAAGAGCACAATTAAACTTTATTTACACTATAAATTTATGTTATAAAGAATCTGCTATGTAGAAAGTTAATCCTAATCAGGGTTATCATAAATTTTTAAAGGAGTAAAGTCCAAATCAGGTTTTACTAAAGCAAAGCAAATCTGATTCAACTTCTCATGGTTTTAGCAATGGTGCAAAACTATAGCTTTTAACAATTTTCTTTATTTTTGAGTGGTATCTGCATTTGCACCAGTATTTGGACAGTTTACAGAGGATGTTTAAGTCCTAAGTGCTTCACTTCTTACACACAGCTATTATTCTCTTAAAATTTTTGTTTTCTGTCAAAAACTTACTTCAAAAGTAAATGTAAAGAATTTCGTATTCTTCATTACTCAAGCTGCATCCAGTTTTACAAAGATAAGTCACCCCAAGCTTACCTGTGTGTGCTATTGAATCTTTGTATCAAACGGCTCCCGTCTGCTAACCTGATCTGAATTTTGGTCGTTGGCACGGAATCATCAATAAGAACAACTGCATTAAGTAGTGACTTCTCCTCTTCTTCTGGGGAGGAAGGCGTACTGACTATTTCAGGTGTGAGGCTAAGAAAGAAGAACTAAAGAATCAGGATGTAAATCTGAACACACAAGATGCACAGCAACCTGAAGACAGTAGAACGAACACTTAGACTTTCACCTGACCTCCAGTCATCCCGCCGTGGCTTCTGCCCCAGTGGGGACACGGCTTCCTTGGGGTCTCCTATTCTTCCACCTTCTTTCATTATATGAAAATTACCTTGGGTCCTATGATTCTGATTTAGTTTATCCAGCCTCTTTTGAAAGCCTAACTCTGTATTCCTTCCTCCCCAATCCCTTTGAAATTTCCTGAGACTGTTCAGCACAATGGTCTTCAGTCAGAAACCTGAGGAGCAACTTGGAGTTAACGTCCAAGACTGACCATGAGCACAGACAGACTTGGTTTCAGATCCCAGCTTTGTCAACTGTGTGACCTCAAGTACCTAAATTAATCTCTCTGAATCCCAGTTCTATCACTGATAAAATGGGGGGGGGGAATAATAACATGTCGTGTAGGTCTGTTATAGTAAGTCCTTCATATAGTGCTTGGAAGTGTTTCAAGAGGTATCAGCTATATTTGTACGTATCATCAGCACTAAGCTATCAACTTAAACGTAGTCGATATTACTTTAAAAATCTGCTTTAAGTAGTTACTGCTTTACAAGACAGTAGTTCCTAAGTGTGAGTGAGAAATGAAATTTAATATATGGTGATGAATTTATAATGAACCTTGTGTGATACAATCTCTTACCACTGGACCTTGGTTACTAGTGACCACAGTGCCTTCTAACGCTAGCAGGATGGCCCATCATTGTAAGCCGAAAGCGAATCTCAAAAATAGAGTGCTCTTTTGATTAAGCAATTAAAACAAATTAAAAGAAATTTAGAAATTCTTCATAGACATCAAATCTTAATCCTCTTTCAGTCATCCTGTGGGATTCTCTGATAGCCTTGATGTTGATTCTCTCAAATACTGGGACTTTGATGGCTCCCTATAAATGACTGTCTTTTGAAAAAAATAAAATAAATATATATTTATCAGTATAAAAGTCCTATGAGCATCTGTGCTTTAGTCTAGTGTAAACCTAGCTCATCATGACTCCAACTCCCACCCAAAAACTTTCTCAGCATATCTGGCAAAGTGGTAAAATTAACTGGTACTTACTGCTAACATTTCGCCTTTCCTTAGCTACTTCCTGACACATATTTTAGAACTAATTTCAGAATGTATATGATAAAGAAATGGAAGAGGAGAAAATGATGATCTGCAGTCACTGTTCAGGTAGTATTAAGGAATTTCCTTTCAAGTTTGGAATTGAGGACTGAAACAGCTGCACCGCCAAGGTGGGTTACTGCAACAGTCCAGTGTCCCTTACACAGGGAGGGGGGACGAAACCCAAAGAGGGGACGGGAGTCAGTGAGCATAAAGGGCCTCTTCCCTCTCCCTTTGCATCCTTATAACCAGGTCTACACACTGTCATCACCACCACCAGCACAGCCTCTGCAGTATTTGCTATTTCATTTAGATCCTGGAGTGAGGGAGGCACTGTTGCTTAGTGGGCAACAGCATGGATGCAGGGGCCCGACTCTGGGACTGACTCTGCCACTTATTAGACGTGTGACTCTGGGCAAGTCACTTAACCTCTTTGTGCTCAAGGGCTGGAATGGCCTTTCGAGATAATTAAGGCCAACCACATCATTTTATAGGAAAGGAAAACTGAGTCACAGAGATTGAAAGATACCCTCAGAGTCAGAGAGACAGGCAGTGAACAAGCTGGTTAGTGTGTTGACAAAAGCTAGGAAGGAAGAAAGACCATTCTATAGCTGTTAGATCTGCCTCTCAGGAAAAAGTACTCAACCTGTTCTTTTTGTCCCCGGCTCTCCTCAGTTTGTGAGATCACTCCATTTTTTAAAATATAATTTTATTTCTTTCAATGAATTTGAAATAAAAAAAATTTGGAATAATGAAAACAAGAAGTCATATGAACTTTAACATTTAGCTCTCAAAGTCACGGCTGCGTGTTATTTCAAACTTTCTCCTCATCATTCAATTTATCAAGCCACAGTGACATTTTTAATATACTGTATGTATGTTTCAAGAATTAACATTAAAAAGAAAAATTTTTTAAAAAGGAAAAGAAGAAAGTTAATTGATAAAACGAGCTTTCTAGGCAAACTGGAGGAAAGGATGTAGCTTGTAAGGGGAGTGATTCCCTCAGACCCATCTTCTTCAGACTTAAAAGAGGGTGGTGGGGATGGATGTAATAAACTCAGAGGCTAAGAGGAATGTATTAAGAAAGCTAATTCTTGTCAGGCTGTTTTGCCAGCAGAGCTGCTGCGAGTGAAGGGCAGGGGTAGAACGGGAGCTGTGGGAAAGCCGGGCACGTCCGTGCTCAGCCGTCCGGGGGCAGGAGAGGGGCAGCCCGCCTGCCCAGCATGGGCACGCGGGCGTCCCCAGAAGCACCGACTGCACAGGGCAGACAGATCCAGTGGCTGTGCAGTCAGGCAAGGGGCTGCAGAACCGCTGGTCAGAGAATGAAGCAGAGGCAGGAAGGAAGGGGCTGTGAGACGTTAGAGAAGAGGGCCCTCCAGGGCCCAGGGACCAAGGCGCAGGCACACCTCAGGCGTAGTGGCCGGACTCGGGGCAAACGGCAAACGGCAGCTTGTGGACGCACAGTGTACCAGACAGGCAGTGACTGTGCTGAAGCAGAGAGAGATTTACTTCATTTCATGATCCGTATCGTCACACACGCCAGCTCAAAAGCCTACCGTGAACATCTGTCAGAAGTGCCAGCCCTGCCCGTCAGAAATGCTGCTGAGGTTTTCTAGCTCTACCTGGCTCACCAAGCTCATTTTTAGTAAATAACTGTATTGCTCTACTATCAAAAATTTGTAGTTTTACACCTACCGTTTGCTTGCTCCTATAATATTACATGAAGGTACTGGGTAATATTTCTATAGCATTTAGGTTTACCCCATTTTATTATGGTCTACAAATAAGTCAATTTCCACCTATGTAAAGTTCTGTTTGCAATTAGACTGCCAACTATGGAAGACAATGGAATCATTTCTCATTCTGTTTTGTTTGCTTCTTTTTAATTACTTCTCTGTTCAGTAAATAGTTGTCTGGAACTCTTGGGAAATAAGCCATTTTAGAAAGTTACTTTCTGAATAGAAGAAGGCTGACTGTTAGAACTTTTATGTTTTAATATGTTTCTTAACGTGAAGCCCTCTAAAATGCTCTATGCAATCCTTCACCTTCTTAGAATATACATAGCCAGCTATTCCGAATCTGGACCCATGTACATCACACAGGCTCACACCACCACGCTCATCTCCTGTGTAAATATTCCGTGCATCAGAAGCTGGAAATTCTAAAGACTACATTTCTCAGACTCCCTTGCAGCTAGGATTTTGTAGGATTCCACCCTTCCATCAAGCAAATAAATACATACTTGTACGGTGAAAGTTAAGACCGTGGCGTGGAGATGATGCAGCTCTTCTGGTCCCCAAGGTCCTGGAGGCATCTGACTCTCCCAGTGCAGTCATGATGGGGTGTTCTAGCTCTGGGCCCCAGCTCCACAGGCTCTGAGCAACTGATGGGGCACAGGAGGTGTTTTCTCTAGAAAGTTCTGTTTGCTTCTCCTGTCTAAGGAAAGCTTGGTTTGCTATCTCTTCCAGAGATTCTATAAATTATTCAAGGCTCTGTAAGAAAACCCTTACTATTTAATCTAGCAAATGGATTCTGTTTTCCATAATCAAAAACCCTGACCAGTATGGCTAATGATTAACACAGCATTATCACCACTTATCTTTGCCATTCTTCCTTCATCATTTTCTCCTTTTTTTATTGTCATTTTCTCTAGTTATTTCCCTTATAAGTAAAAAGGCTGGCCTTTGTAAGATACTATAATCAATCAGATAATAAATCATTATTTTCATGAGTTCAAACTGCCAATTATAATCACTGGGTCTTCTTAGCTGTCTTCCCTTTAGGCAACCTTCTTCAATTTCAGTTCTAGGTTTACTATACAACTGACCCTTGAAAAACACGGGTTTGAACTGGGCAGGTCCACTTACGCATGGATTTTCAACAGCAAACGCTATTACAGGATCTATAATATAGAGTACTACACGATCTGAGGATGGGGAGTCGTGGATACAGAGAGCCAATTATAAGAGGAGTTTCGACCACTTGGAGGGTCGGCACCCCAAACCCCCGTGTTGTTCAAGGGTCAACTGTACTTCTACTAACAAAGATATGCATTCTAACTTTAATTCTTGGTCATACACTTAAATAATAGAAAAAGAAAGCATATGAAACAAAGAGATGACTGGGCATTTAACCTGTGTTTTAATTAAAAATCATAATCTCAATAAATATTAAGTAAAAAATGAGAAGTGCTAGAAAATATTAAAAAACTATCTGGGGGTTGTAGTTATAAAAAAAAAGGCAGGAAGAAATAGGACAATTCAGAAGAAGCCTGACTGTGTTGAAAGTAAAGAGAGATGAGGGAGAATTTCCAAGTAGACCTGTCCTTAAAAAAGCAAGGTCAACACATGTTCCTGTATTCTCTACATGTCTCAGAAATAAGCCTCTAATGGGAGAAAAGGATGCAGAAAGGGAGACTTGAGAAATGAAAGACAGGTGCAGAGAGCTGATACTGAATTCTTTCCTATGTTGAGAAATGAGAGGGGAAGAGAACTGGTGTGCACAAGGCAACTGAAAAGAACTCGGAAGGGAAGGAATCACATGAAAAGGAACAAAGGGTGCACAAAAGGGTATGTTGGAAACATGGCCAAGGCTGCAATTCAGCATGCCATCTGCAGTAACCTGTGGACAAATGGAGGGTCATGTTTACCAGCACATGTAACAAGCTTTATGAAGAGGCAAGCCGTGGCTATTATAAAGGTGTCCACTCGTACATTACACCACGCACACTGGTTTCTAAGTTGTGCTCGGCAAAGTCCTAGGGTTCTTTGGAAATGTCTGAGGCAATTCCCTCTTCCTGCAATAAGAGGAGTTCTCTATGTGTTCCCATAACTTGAAGAAAGAGTTTGGCTCCTTAAGATATATCGAAAATAACCAACTTAAGCCCACTGCTTTGGCTTCAAGAGCTTAACAATTACCTACGGCAGACAGGGATGCTTACAGCTGTGATCTAAGATACCTACTGTTTTATCTAATCAACAATTCCCCCGGTGAACCCACGTAATCGTAATCAGAAAGAAGCAGGATGGCACAGTGGTAAAAAGCACAGACTTGGGGGGCCAGAGTGCCCAGTTTGAAGCTCACACACTAACTGCTTCCTCGCTCAGTCACCCTGGGCAAACTGCTGCATCTGCAAATGGAGTGATAACAGGATCTACGCCAAGGAGCTGTTGTAAAGATGAAATGAGGTAATGACTGTAAAAGTGCTCTGAGGGGGGCTTTCCTGGTGGCGCAATGGTTGAGAGTCCGCCTGCCGATGCAGGGGACACGGGTTCGTGCCCCGGTCCGGGAAGATCCCACGTGCCGCGGTGCGGCAGGGCCCGTGAGCCATGGCCGCTGAGCCTGCGCGTCTGGAGCCAGTGCTCCGCAACGGGAGAGGCCGCAACGGTGAGAGGCCCGCGTACCGCAAAAACAAAAAAAAAAAAGGGGGAAACACGTGCTCTGAGGGCCAGGAATGTGGTAACTGCTATCTAAGTATCACCTATTAATATTATCACCAGATTGGCACATCTAATTCCATCAGCAAGGTCTTCACGGTTTATATTTTAGTTTTTACTTCCCAGGTTACTGTGCTTTTCTTGATCTCAAAGCAAATTCATGTTGAACAAAGACAAGCATTTTCCTCATTTTAGGGCTTTACCTTCCAAGTTTTTGTCCTTCTCCACTGAAAGCCTTGAACCTCAGTCTAGGTTTTATGTATTCTTCATCGTGATGATCCTCCATATCCAGATTCACGTGGCCTCTGTGAACCAGCCGCTGAAGCTCCAGGGGAATCTCTCTTAAAAAAAGAAAAACCACAGTGAGATACCACCTCACACCTGTCAGAATGGCATTAATCAAAAAGAACACAAATTAACCAATGTTGGCGAGGATGTGAAGAAGAGAACCCTTGTGCACTGTTGGTGGGAATGTAAATTGGTGCTGCCACTGCGGAAAACAGTATGGAGGTTTCTCAAAAAACTAAAAATAGAACTACCAAATGACCCAGCAATTCCGCTCTTGAGTATATATCCAAAAAAACACAAAAGCACTAATTCCAAAAGATGCATCCACCCCAAGGTTCATAGCAGCATTATTTACAATTGCCAAGATATGGAAGCAACCTAAGTGTCCATCAACAGATGAATGAATAAAGAAGATGTGGTACATACATACAATGGAATACTACTCAGCCATAAAAAAGAATAAAATTTTGCCATTTGCAGCAATACGCATGGACTTAGAGGGCATTGTGCTAAATCAAATAAGTCAGAGAAAGACAAATACTGTATGATGTCACTTACATGTGTAATCTAAAAAAATACAACAATCTAGTGAATATAACAACAAAAAAAGAAGCAGACTCACAGATAAAGAGAACAAACTAGTAGTTACCAGTGGGGTTGGGGGGAATATTGAGCTAGGGGAGTGGGAGGTACAAACTATTAGATGTAAGACAGGCTACAGGGATGTATTGTACAACCCAGGGAATATAGCCAATATTTTGGAGTAACTGTGAATGGAAGGTAACCTCTAAAAATTGTATAAAAATAAAATAAAAATTTAAAAAAAGGAAAAAGGTTTTAGTAAACTTTTTGAAAAATGAGTCTACACTGTTGAGATTGTGATAGTTAAGCTGTGAACTTGAAAACAGCAATTTTTGCTTAATTTATAATTTAAAAATTTCCGTGATGATTGACTACTTCTCGTAGATCTTTCTTCCTTAAAGGTACATCATATTATTCCTTAGTGATTCTCAACATAGGGATTTTATCGTCACAGGGAGGCTGGAGTGCTTCTGACAGAAGGCCAAACTGTAGGGAAGCCATTTATACCTAAGTCGGCATTAGAAAATCCCGGACATAACAGTTAATGTGAATATTTATCTCTAAACACCCTGGAGGAAGTTTGGAAATTTGACAGGGGTGATTTTGATTGTCATGTGATTCATGCATGCTGCCCTCCCTTAGGGTCAGGATCAGGGCAGGAGATGCTCTGTCTCGGGGGTCTCAACTTACACAATGAAGACTTGTTGGGGGTTCCACAGAACCACTGAGGGTCCCACCAGGGGGTCACATGGATGACAAGGCTGTTTATAATGCCTGAGCCTAAAACCTAAGGCTTAGGCTCTATCTTACATATAAGCAAAAAAAAAAAAATTTTTTTTTTTTTTGGTATTGTATAAATATGCTTTGAACTTTTCAGGAACTCATCTGCCATATAAACAGAAGGAACATTGCACTTATAGTAATTAAGTTGCCAAAGTCACACACCTCATTATTCTGTTTTTTGCGTGTCGCATCTACATGAAAAGTGCTAGACTGCACACAGGTGCAGTCTAGGTCAGTCTATCCGTCTACTTTGTTATGTCTTCTGGTGTAATCATACCTAGGCATTAGACGTTGAAATATGTTTAGTTTTACGATAAATTACCTTCCTTTACTTCTTCACCATATTTAAGGTAAGTTATATGAATGGTTTTAGAAATAATATGCACAAATTGATTATGTTATCTATAAATTCTTCTCTGAGGATAGTGAAGACAGTGTTACAAAATATTTGTTATAAAAAAGGAACAATGATTATACAGCTGACAACCACTATCTGACGATCATTCTTTTCAAGGAGTCGTTTCTAAAATCGTTCTTGATCATAATTTGTACTTGAGGATATGGTGTAGCTCAAATGAAAAAATTCTCTTAGTATACCATGACTGACCACTAGCCTACAACGTCTGTCGAGTATTTTCATTTAATAATAAATTAGTTTTGATCTATATTATAGCACATTCATCATCATGTTCTTTTCTTCTTCCATCTGGAAGTAAGCGTCATTTCAGCAGTCATGTTGACCTTTACTCAGCAGATGAGCACTTCCCCCACCCAGTGGCTCCCAAGCTCTGCCCAGTGACTCTGCAGGTTTCCAAGTCCACAGCACTGACTTCAACTCTTACCCTTCTATTTGCCACCACCATACACTGCTTCCCGGGTCAGCTTCCCACCTTTCTCAATGACCTCCCTCCCGCTTACAGCATTTCTTGCTTTTCTTTGGTATTCTGACATTACTTTTGTAGAATTCAAATACAAAATCCATGCTAATTAGTTCTAAAATGCCTTTCCTTTCGAGTTCCTTGCCCACCTCAACTCCGATGAGTTCCCATCTCCACTCCACTTCAGCCACTCTCCCTGGACAGATTTCCTCACTTGGAAAAGCCCCACCTTCAATTCCTGGATGGAGTGTAACCTCCTGCTCCAGCCCCTTCACTGCTACTTACATCTCCCAGTTCATGGCCAGCCTGACACCTTTCTTCAGTTGTATTTCTACTTAGGGATGATCACACTGTCAGCTAGTGAGAGCACAATGCAGAAAAGCTTTTATAATCATAGCAAAATCACTTGATTCCTCGTCCTTTAGCCAGAAGGCCTGGTGAGTTATGATGTTCTTTAGATGGCTCGGAGCCCTGTAAATCTGGTTTACTTTCACAAAGTATAACTTCAAACTAACCTTTTGAAATCTTCTGCCAGCAGTAATGCCACTTTAAAAGCTTTCTAATATAAGTTGCTGAAATTCAGGCATACATGCAATGAATCACCCCTGTCAGTAGTGAGCAGGACAGTGGCTTAGTGGATGAGCAGCTACCTGCTAATCAATTCACTAATTTATTACATTACAATACCTCTGCTCAGAACTGGGACCATAGCTTCACTGGATTTTAAAAGGGACCAATGACCACTGCTCCCCCCCAGCAAGTTAAGAACCACTGACATACAGATAGCAACATGTCCTTTATATACTTAAAAATATCCTTCTCTCCAGCAACCACTTACACAATATATTCCAGTATCTCACTCTTAAAAACCAGTAGAGCACTACTGAACGGCGTTCTGTTTACAAGAAAAAGAAGTTCCACCCTCAGTAACAAATAGAACCCAAGCAACACATCTTACCCTCTCTTAACGGACTCCAGAAACTGAGCATTTGTTGGGTCACTGTAAGGTCTCAATTCTCCATCGTCTAAGCTGAAACCATTGCTCCACAGTTTAAGCAAAATCTGAACCTTTTGAGTGTAGGAAAAAAGAAATACAAGAACGCGTCTGCATTAAACAATTTTAATTTTCAAATGTGATATTTATGATTTACTTTATTTAAAATATAGAGTTATTTGTACTATTCTTTTTTTTTGCTGTACGCGGGCCTCTCACTGTTGTGGCCTCTCCCGTTGCGGAGCACAGGCTCCAGACACGCAGGCTCAGCGGCCACGGCTCACGGGCCCAGCCGCTCCGCG